ATTAACAGTACAGGTGGAGAGGTGTTTAACGGAAGGACCAAATCGGGGTAAAAATGGTAAACAGTAGGGACCAAATCAGGGATTTTTTGAGTTCAGGGACCAAATCGGGGGTCTGTACAATAGTTGAGGGACCAAAAAGGGGTTTTAACCAAAAATTTAAGAGTATGTAATAATCTGAACTTAATAACAAGTTTTAATTCGAATTAGATAATAAAGTTGATTAAATTGCTAAATTTCATGTCAAACACAAATAATTTAACCAAGTCACTTGAATCAAACACGAACTCAAGCCAAGCTTCGAGCTTGAACTGGCAAAAGCTTTTGCAAGCAAGCCTACTCGCGGCACAAGTTCCCTTGAGCAACCCGTGCCAAGCTACCTAAGGCATGAGTTGTCTCAAGGAACCCGTTCCTACTTCCGAGCCTAGCACTCAAGGCATAAGCTCCCTCAAGCAACCCGTGCCCCAAAAAACTTTTTGTCGATTTTTTTTTTCCTTCTAAAAAAATATTGTAGTTTCAACTTTCATTCACTAAAAAGTGAGAAGTACTTACTCCCTTGGTCAGCTCTGCTCCAGCCAATTTTACTAGGTCGCCACCCAATTGGGTGAAAAAACCAGCGAAGAGGATCATGAGCGTGGGGACAAATTGTCATTTCAGTTTTGCACCAATGGGTTAAGTTTAAAGGTCCAGTCAACCAAAGCTGCTAGTTAGGTTGACTTGTTCAAAGAATACCAGAACAATGTCAAGCAGTGAGTTTCCAGGAAGCTATGGTATAGACTCAATTGTGTATTGAATGCACATTGCCAGAACAGAATAATCCTAAGCCGTAAGCACTACTCCAAATTAAAAACAAATGGTTTTGCATAGATAATCCATACCTGGAAGATGCTGGCATGTTGTTTGTAGACACTGATCTGAACTCGAATTGAATTCGCATGTCCCACCTAAACTCTCACATTGATGACAGAAAACCGCATTACTGTTGTACTCCACATCAAACCAAAATTGTCTCAAAGCATCAACCAATGTCAGTTTCCCATCCCAGACTTTGTTGAAAACCGTCTGATTAACCGCAACTTTCACAGTACTGCACCCGTAACTATCTTCCGTCTCAGGTTCCCCCATACCATGCATAAAGAAGAAGGGTTTGTTGTTCTCATCGGGTCCGCAATCAATCTTAGTTCCAGGCGGTACCTCATAAGGTGGAGTACAGCTATAGAACAGAGTGACGTTTTGGTTGGTTTCGGATAATTTCAAGGAAAGGGGCAGCAGAGTTCTGTGTTGTGTTGTCACGGGACAAATAAATGCCTCTAAATTCACTGGAGCAATCGTCAATTTGCTGTAATTTGATGGGTTTCTGTACTACAGTTGGAATGAACCATTTAGGCCAAAGTCTATGGTGGGAACCGCTTTTTCGCAGTCTTTCAAGTGGAATCCAAGCGGACGACAATGCTCCGGAGTATTATCGTTCCAAAAAGGATAGTAAAAGGTTCCATGGTTGCCGCACTGGAAGGAAGCAGAAAGGTTACACTTTGTGAACTCATCCAAGGGATCGCTGTATGATGGTGGGAGAAGGAGCAAGATGGAGAAGATGGTGATGATGCACACAAAAGTGGATGAAAAAATGGGTTGGGGAAGCATTTCAATTTGTGGGAGTTTTGGAGGAAAACTAGAAAGTAATTGGTGGGAGATGATGAGATGGGTTTATTTGTTTCAAGTTTAAGAGATTTTTACATAAAGCCAAGTGGAAGGTCTTGGTCAATATCATCCCTCCTTTTCCTCTGATAATAATAGTACTATTATAACGTGAAAACTTAAAAGCTACCTAGAATATTAAAATTTGGCCAAGAAATAAAGAAAGAAAGCGAGCTTCATAGAATTTTCAATGTACAATTATCTTTATGTCAGAGGAAGAAAGATAATTATTTGATTTAGAAGTTTGACCTACCTCTATAACTATGAAGGATGAAACTGCCAAGAAATAGCATCTGCAGAATACAGAGATTACCATTCAAAGTCTAAGAATTGCAATAGAATTCTAATATTGCCTCAAATTCTGTTTTACAAACCTATGATACAATCAAAACTCGAACTCGAATTAAGTCTGTCTATCTAGTTCAAGAAAAAATATTCACCAGTTAATAACTTGAACTAGAATTAAAACCCACCTAACTAGTCAAAGCCTCAAAGATTATGAAGGTAAGTCGAGTTTTAAATATCAAAATTTAGAATTTCCTAAGTTAAAACAGTTCCTTTAGGATGTTTAAGCTCAAGAATCATATGGAGGAAAACAATGAAGAGAAATATCTTGTTAATGTGAAAGGAATAAACATGCGTACCAGGTTTTAGACACATTCGAGGGTAAGGTTGGTCAGGGCAGAGGCATAAGAACTCAAGCGATGTAATGTTTGATCCACATCTCCCACCTGAGTGCTGGCAGGCAGAACAGTTCATGATGACTGAGGTA